ATTTGCTTGATTGCTAAATGACGCTTCGTGGCCCGGGTATATCTCTACGAAAGAGGCTTCCAAGCTAGAAGAATGGCGCGAGCACATGTGCTCGACCGGTTGTATTTTCTCACTCTCACTAACTCCGATCGCCTTTGTTTGAGTGCAGAATCAAAGTTAGTGCCGATTTTGAAACCGTGTAGAAGCTATAGGCATATACTAGTTATTTCAGAGTCAGCTTTAGAGTAAGTGCATGTCTTACGTTAAAGAGCGACGTACCAAGGTGTAGAGGTGGTCACATTTTTGCATGACGCCGATTAGGAGTTTTGTTTAAAGACTGTTTGTACGTCCCGGTACGTGCTGAACCTATAGTCTTTCCACCACAGGCGGGGTCGTGTCTCTCCCACGGCGGGACACTGCCCACATGCCTCCTCCCTAACCCAAGGGCCGGGGCATCCAGACACACAAACCTACACAGCCAGCATAATTCCTAAGTGCACTTGTCAACGGGCAGGTCGTTTTTTAAACCAGACGAAATACCGTGGACACAGGTCTCGGGCGCCTGCCACATCGGCGGAGACCACGGATCATGTTTCAGTGGTTGTAGGAGGCTAGCCGGAGGGGCTCCGAGCGGGACCGATATTTACGCGTATACGCAGTATCGGGTGAACCTCCACCCACGGTGGTCTCCATATTCTTGTAATCCTGTGTGGTCCTTGCTCTGCGCTTGTGTATGCGAGGCGCATGGGTTGTGTCTGGCAAATTATCCGTTCTGGCGATTCTCGCCGCAATCATATCGGAGTCAGTTTATTTTTTCCGACCATTAACAGACTAGGGCACGCGTCTTAATGTCTAGGCTCTGATCCGTGGAACCTGCCCTTGGAAGCTGACTTTTTGGCCTCCTAGCGAGGATGGTTTGACCCGTCCGATTGGTCCAGATTTCTTCGGGATCTGTACCCAAATCGACCCTAACTAAATCCTGATTGGATGGGACAGGTTTCGGCGCACTGTCATAACCCCTGAACGGACGGGAGTTGGGGACGGGCTTGCGAGCCCATCACTGTTCTCACGCGGTTCGCCGTGTTATCTGCCGTACGCAGCAGCCCTTGTTCCCCGGCTAATGAGCCACCATCTTCACGGAGGACACTCGACGCCGAGGCGTCACTTCGCAATTTTAAGCCTGTGCGGCAGTTATTGCCAGGCTACCTTCTACTTATCGAATGTTCCAGACAAGTTTTTCTTGACTCAATTGGACACGAACCCTCACGACCGTCGCTCTTCAAAGTCCTCGCCACCGACGACCAGCACTCCAGCGACCAGCAGTCTTCCACGATCACCCCCCGTCCCCGAGAGTAGGCACCCCCCAAGGTGCCCATCGAGGTCCGGCGCAAAAACAAGATAAAAACTAATCAAGGAGTGATTATGTTGTTGTCCATGCTGTACTCAAATGACACATGCCCCACACATTAAAAGCGACTTGACAATGGGTCTTTTACGGGTATGATCGGCGCAATCTGTTGTCAAAGCAGGAAGCGTTTTCAAACGCTTTAATCAACTAATGCGCCTTCATGATTGTTAAAAGTCAAGGCGAAACAAAATAACGACTTGTTGGAATTAAAACGCTGTTTCCCCCGCCTCCCCACTGTTACTTGCTGCCGGTATATCATCCCGTAAGCGCCAACGAAAATGGCGGACACCCGTGTCTGCTACCAATACAGATGCACACAGGTAACCCCGAAAAAGGATCATCACTAAAGCACGCGTATATATAGTCCACACTAATTAATACACTGAGTCCATAAACCACGTTATAAAAGTTTTTTTTTTATTTTGATTGAGGGGTCTGATTGCTAATACCGGTGTACTCGTTGTTGGCTATATCAAGTAAATGAACCACCGAATAAAAACATGCAGTTTTACGTCTGATCTTGTTTTCTTATCAGTGAACTCCATCACCACGTTAGTCTTTCTAAGCAATTACTTTATCGCTTAAAAAAAAAAAAAAAAAAAAAAAAAAAACGCAAACTAGCTAGTTTTATTTGGACGTGTCGAACACGCTAAGACTCGATTACAGAACCACCGAATGAATTCGTGCTTGATAAGGATATGAAAATATTCTTAGCACCCACGTACCCAAATGGCGTTTATAAGTGAGCTCAAACCTATTCCGCCGATTTAGTCCCATTTGTTATATTTCATTATTAAAATGTTTGCAAAAATGTTTTACATTTGCAACACAAATATGATGGTCGAATGGTTAAATTCAAAATTGTTAACGTCTTGGGCACCGAGAATTAGCCAGAAGCGCCGAATGACCATATATTACGTTAGCAGTGCAGAACCCCTCAAGTATTCGCAGCTTTCTACCTAGTAGAGAAATCAATCTTTCCAGCACGGCCAACATTACGCAATGAGGTTGTTTTTTTTTTTTTTTTCAATAAACATACAAATAGAAAAAAAGAAGTGACGTGTCATTTTTTAACAGCGTGTTACGAGAAAGACCAATGCCGCTCGCGGAGACGATGCTTGCATTTCTCGTTACGCGCGTATGTTTTCCTTCGCTGAGACCGGGCTACAAAGGAACTTTGCTCATCGTCAGCTACTGCCTCACGAACAAGACTGCGACCTCATTTCCCGTAAGAAGCAAATCACGACCCGCTGTCACTGTTTCGAGACGGCCGAGCGTTGAGCTCCATGCTGCACCTTGACACGGAAACACGGTGAATGCAACGCACGCCAAGCCGCTCGAGAAGAAGCCGTCGCGGCGGCAGCAACATGCCCGTGAATGGTATAACCCACGCCCCTTTCTCGGCGCGCGTCGCTATTTTCACAATAGACCTGCAGAACCTGCCGAATGCGTGGTAGGAAAGCGAGTGGTTGCAACGCCGCGTAACCCGCATGATAAATGGACCCGGCGGCGTCCGGTCCAGAGATCCTCAATTAGCCGTTCGCATTCTCTGCTGCTGAGTGTCCTGGAGTCGGAGTTAAACCGTACACGGAACTGCGTATACGAGCGCTCAAATATGGCACGGCGAGAACACGATTCAACTTTGACCCACTTTACGTAAATAATCACGGCGCGTATAATATATATATATATATATATATTCCCGAGAGTCGCAATATCTGAAATGCCCTTTCTTTCTTTTTGGAGACTATGAACTTTTGCGAAAATCGCCTTCTGCGCTCTGCCATCTTTGTCTGCTGGGCTGTAGAATGCCTTCCGAGTATGCGCTGTTGCTCTGCTGTGTGGCATATCTGTGTCTGGTTAAACGCAGTGCGTGGTTAAACCTCACATGCTCCAACAACCGCGCGATTTCTGTCGGCGCGGTCGGCTCTTCTACCTAATTTTAGATGCAGAGGACGCGGACGCGATGCGCTTGACTTTACCTAAAATACAACAAAAAAGTCTTAACACAAATGATTTACGAATACAGAATTTAACTAGAAATTTCTAGTAATTAAGCATGAAATCAAGAGCTTTTATGTGTCTAAATTTATTGTCGAATACGCTGCTATCGCGGATCAAAGCTGGCTAATAAACGGCTGGTTGACGAGAAAGCGATCGCACCGACTCTGCGACAAAATGAAAACCAGTCGCAGAGCCGCTGCGACAGTGCGACTGCGATTTTAATCGCACATTTGCTGGAAACCGCATTGATTTCGGACGAGAATTGCAGCATGTGATGAAACAAACAACACTCGCCACTTGTTTGTGAAACCTGACCCGCATAAGAATACGTCACTGGAAGTCGATGCAGGAGAAGCATTTAAAAAATATTATCTCAAAAATAGATACACAGGCGAGGTAACGCTGCAGTCATGGTTCACGTACAGTCGGCAGCTAAAGTTTGCGGGGCATGGGGGCACCTGTCGAAATCACTCGCTGCGCCTCTGGTGGCGCGTTGCCGCTCAAGACTCGCTCTTTGCTCATGCGCTTCCTATCGTGTTCACAAACATGCTTTTCTTTTTTTCTGGGTTTTTTTTTTCGTGTTTTCTTTCGTTGTTTTTGTCCGACGCGCAAGAGAAAACAGGGACTGGCGCAAGCTGCCGCGAAATGTTATCTGAAGCAATGTGAGCACCGTCACCCATCACAGTGGCTGAGGCAGACGCGCTGCATGACGACTCGCAAAGCGGCATCTTGCGCCGGTCCCGGTCATCTCGTTCACGTCGTACGGAAGCGAGTGAAAAAGACGACTGCGAACACAAAAGGAAGCGGATTATCAAAGCACGAGTCTTGAGAGCGGCCGCACGCCGTCAGAAGGCGCTGTCAGTCTTTTCGGTTGGCGCTCCCGTGCCCCGCAAACTTTTGCTGCCAACTGTAAGTACAGTAAAACACTGCACCATATGCACCACATTCATGAGAATGAATGCGACCCTTGGCAAAAAAAAAGAAACGAGAAAGAAAACCCGCTTGCGGCTGTGGTAATCATGCACGTTGTTTCAGCTCCAATAGAGACAAATAGACTCTTTGCGAAAGTCACGTGCCGATTATTAGAAGGTCGGAACCCCTGCATAACGGCGGAACAACTAACATCGTGGAACGTGCAAGTCATTTCATAAAATAGCAAACGCCGGAGCGCGGCCAACGCTAGAAGCCGACGAGGCAATCAAACTGCGTCGAAAGTAAAACACCACTGCGTTCATCACTTTTTTCTGTGCGCGTTTTTGCCTTACAATCCAACCCAACGCATAAAATGTGCCGTCACGTTGCGCATTTAGTCCACCATGGTACAGAGATTCCACAGCTGCCAACAGAGGGCAGTATTTCGAAAGGGTTCTACTCTAGGCTGCACTACTGCAACAACGTAGCAAGGGTAGGTTTTTTTCGGTCCATCTGCGGAATCCTGGAGAGACGGCACAAAAACCTTCGCGTACGTGAAGAAAAGTAGAAACTTTGCTAAGTGTACACCCACCGGCCTATTCCTTTTGTTAACAGCACTGCATACTGCTCTTGCTGATCAGCGGTCCAAACAAAAAGTTAAAAGAAAAAAGATAAACGACAGTTAGTTTTCACGTACCTCGAGTTATGGGATGCGGATGACGGACTCCGTAACGCTATCTCTTCAGCCCCTGGGAGTGGTGCTACACGAAATTGACTGCCAGGGTAGCCGAGAACACAGACCTCGCCCTCAGCGCTGCTCCGCCGCTGGGACAAGGGTCAGGGCACGGCATTCTGTGCGCCAGCTGCCTGGAACACAACACCAGACAGAATGGAGGCGTATGAGCTGCTTGCCGCGCAGTGATAAGAACGCTCCGCCCTTGTATTTTGTTTTGTTTTTGTTTTGTTTTTGTTTTTGTTTTTTTGCGGCTTCGGCCAAGCGTTTGCACCGTTCACGTGTCGCGAACAAGAGACGGAAACCAAATACTTTCGGAAACTCCTTCGCCCTCACCCCCCTCGACTTGTCCGAGGAATGCGTCAGCGTGACCTGAAGCCTGCGTTGTGCGCGGTGAGCGACCACCAGAAAGATTAACAAATTATATTTCAAAATTTCAATTTTCGTGCTTTTTTTTTTTCTTTTCTTCTTTTTCTTTCATATTTGAGGGGCTTGTTGATAAGCGCACTTCGCGGAGGCGCTGTTTTGCCGCTCCAAACGCCAACTGTATGGGACGGTGAGCCTACAGTTATCACGTGAGCAGCACGGTAAATCGGTACAAACTGTGTGTGATTCACATGAGCGAGGTATTGGCCTCCGACACTAAAGTTTCAAGATACAATGCTCCATTGAGGCAATCTGGCTACCGCCCTAACAGTGCAGAAACGTGTATGCTGGACGCACACAGACGAGAGGTTCTTTCTGATGTCAAGCTCACCGTTTCAGTGCAAGCAACAGGTAGAGACTGAAACAGCTTATGGTGACATCAACAAATACCGGACGGAAAAACGTCCGTCCAGGCGTCCTTTCACGCCATTACTGCAGCATGGCGCGCGGAAAAAAGCTTGAGATAGCAGCCGTATAAAGCGCAGGCCGCAAAGCGCGTTTTTCTGCACGCGAAAACGCGACGCGCTATGAACGCTCGCCCGGAAGCTGACGCGGGGGCACCCGCATGCAGAAAAAGCCAAGCACCGGATGGATGGATGGATGGTAATGGCTATTCCCTTTGTAACGGGCGGTAACTTGCGCCACCTAGCCTAAGTTCAAAAAGACAAAAACGTTATTCCTCCCGCCCTTTTAAGACCAATTTTTCTCCCCCTAACTATCACCAGGCAGTGTGGGATATCACCAGGATGACCTTCGGGGGATCGGGCAAAAAAAACTAAAACATATCACCCCCCCCCCCCCCCCCTCACCCCTGCCTCTTCCCCCCGGCGAGGGAGTCACCAATTTTCCTCTGGTCAAACCTTTTCGGCGTTACCCCAGCACCGGACCCACTGGGGGACAGGGTTGAGACTTTGGGCCGGAGCCACGCGGGAGGGAGTCCCAATTTTCCTCTGTCCCGCCTGTTTCCAGCTGTGCTAGTTAGTTGTCCATCATTTAATTTTTCCTAGATAATTTCCACTAATCTTCTAATCGTCTCTTTGTCACTGTAATCTTTTTCTCTACCGTCCTTCCATCGTCGCCAGTGAAACCCAGGGCCCCGGCCAAATCCGTTACCCCGTCAGGGAGGGCAGGGCGAAGCCCCGTGCACTTCGAAACCAAGTGCTCCAGTGTCTCGCTATCATTATGGCTGGCGGCACATAATGTGTCGGTCTCCTGAAATTTAGCCCTATACGTCCTCGTCCTCAAAACTCCCGTTCTTACCTCGAACAGCAAAGCACTTCCCAGTGAATTGTCAAATAGCTTTTCCTTTCTTATCTCCTGCTTTCGTGACCTGTACACTGCTAAAGCTGATTTCTCCTGCATTCTCCCCTCCCACATTTTTCTTTCCGCCTCTTTCACCTTCTTTTTCACTGACGTAGTCTGTTCAGCCCCATCACCAGTGTGTAGATATTTAAATGTAAGCTTTCGGATTCGGTTTGTCCATTTTGTGTTTAAACTTTTCATGTATAAATACTTGAATACCTTACGTGCCCACCGCGTATCATCCCTTTCAGTCAACCTTTGTTCAAATTTCAACTTACTAATTGCCTCCCTGCTCTCAAAAGACGACCATCCCATGTCCCCCTGTACTCCCTCGTTTGGTGTTTTTCCATGTGCTCCCAGCGCCAATCTGCCTACGCTTCTTTGTCGAATTTCTAACCCTGATTGAACCTCAGATTTCATGCACAGTACTGCATTGCCAAACGACAGTCCTGGCACCATCACTCCCTTCCATATACCTCTGACCACTTCATATCTGTTATAGTTCCATAGTGCCTTGAGCTTCATAATAGATGAATTTCTTTTCCATTTTCTAATTGTATTCTCCTCGTGTCCCTCTATATATTTCCTTCCCTCATTGAGCCAGACCCCTAGATATTTGTACTGTTCTACGTGTTCTATCACTGTGTCCTGTATCTCCAGGGGTTCCCCCTTCTCATCTTATCTGGCAACGCCTCATCAGCGTTGCCAGATAACAGAATTATCAACACGCGATGTAAATGTTGACGTAAATACTACAAAATGAGAATTACATGAGCAAATAAGTAAATAAAACAGGTTTGTGTGTCAAAAGAAACACCTTTTGAATTTTTATATGGAAAATAGAAATGCTTTTGAAGATTTTGAAATGTGCTGAATACGAAACAGCGTACTGTGCAGGATCACGTGATAGTTCGACCGACCCTCATTGGGCGAGAGCCGCTTCGACGCCTCGGCGCGCGCGTCTTGTTCTGGGTTGGCTAGAAATTAACGCTCCCGCGAAAACGCGCGCCCGCGCGCAGGAAATGACGTCAGTTTGACGCCGACGCGCCTGAATCGCGAGCAAAAACGCGCCATGCTGTCAGCGCTTTACAATAACAACATTACCCTTCTATGTGGCGGCATAAGACATCGCTGTACTATTGAAAATTCGAACAACAAATTTGATTTTGAAGCCTACCTCCCGCCAACAGGTCAGAAACACAGGTCAAGACGCTTACGTAGACTACTCGACAAGAGTATTCAAGATAAGTTACTATATGTCAAAGCATTTCGAGTATTACTCAAGTTACTTTCCCTGGAAAATATCTTGAGTACAAATACTCCGTAAAGAAATTTAGTGACTTTTAAAGATGATTTGTATCGCCTTCAGTGGCACAAGAATGCCATATTTGCAAGCAACAGAAGCAAAGAAAACAAAATCGCATTGGTTTTCCATGCAGTCCCAGTACAAGGAGTTATTTTATAATTAGCACTTTGGATGCGTCGCTTTACCAATCACGCAGAGAATCTCCGCTGTCTTTCTCGCGGTTGTCGATTTCTTTATTTGCTCCTCGTACTAAAAAGCGCGTTCAGAGAGGTTTGCAACCTGGAGACTGGTGGAAACACTTTGTTTTCAATTTGAGAGATCATACTGGTCCTAGCTTGTTTCTTGTCTTACTGTTACAATCTCTATCCCCATGAAAGGGTAGTGGTAGGGTTATCCACGCTCCGCCTACAGACAGTGTTCCTGAACCCCGAGAGTTCCAGACTGGCCAAAGAAGCTGACATTCTTGCCAAGTGCAGTCAAACATAAAAAAAAAGAAAAATGTGCCTTTTTTTGGTGGCCTCGCTTCATTTCCTTCTATGTGTTCTTCAGTTGGCGTTTTGAGCCCTGCATCTTTGGTCCTGGTTCGTTTCCCGTTCTGTTTTATTTCCTTTCCACTTCACATCTGCAATCGGCTGAACCTTGAGCTGGGGTGTGTTCCGATTCCGATTTCCGTAAAGTATTCTCGGGACAATTTCTTTTTTTTTTTTTCTCAAAGAGAGCGAAAAATGTATTGAAGATAATCAGTACAAAACATCCGAAGATTTATCAAGAGAATGAGGCAAATCAGGCACGTAGCTAGGGGAAAGGGGGGGGGGGGGGTATGGGGCCCAGCCCCCCCCCCCCCCCCCCCCCCCCGAAATCTTTCATTATGCTGGGGCTTCCTCTCCCCCCTCCCCCTCATACAGCATTTTGTCATGGGCGAACGGCCTCCCCCCCCGAAACAATATCCTGGCATATCCTGGCTACGTGCCTGAGGCAAATACTCAATTAATTGCATTCGCAAGATATCAAATTACTACCAAAAGTGTTCAAAAAATACAGTATGTTGAGTAGACTATTTGAAATACACAGAAGTCTGACACCAACCTCGGAACGCAATGGTCTTCTTCTATGGGTGAAATGGACTTGCACACGATTCAGCGTCGAACTTCAGGCACAGAGTGTTTGGAATGTCCCGGAACGTTTCCCGGCTGAACATCAACGGCGGCGATACTGAAACATAACGAGTTCGTGCACAGGAGTATAAGCATACAACAATGGTACAAATATTAATTAAAGAGGCTGGGGAAAGGCTTCTTAATTTAGAGCGTTTAATTAAGAGGAAAAAAATGCTTTACGCATGCGTGTATTTTTTTTTTTTTACGGAAACACGACGTGCGCGAGTTTAGTAACAAAATACGCATATATGAAAGAAAATATACGGTGTTCAAGTTTGTCTTTTCTTTGAACAGCTCGTGTTTTCGTTTAACCTCGAAATGTGCCCACGCGCATTTTTAAGGCGACTGAATTTTGAAACATGTCGCGCGACTTTCGGCATCTCCAATTTCACGTTTTTCAGCGCCGATCTTGGTTTCGTTTAACTTTATTTTTCTCCGAAAAATACGCAACTCTCAACGAAACAGTAATTGAGCGGTGTCTAGACGGCACATTCCACCGTTCAAAGGTTAAAAAAAAATCACTTTTGGGATCTCAGGATCCCAAAACAATCACTTTTGGTATCTCTAATAACGAAATAAAAACAACTGAACAAGAAGCAGAAAATGGAGAGAATATCTATATATATATATATATATATATATATATATATATATATATATATATATATATATACGAGAGAATCAAGTATGACGTTCTTGAATAGAAAGCAGTTTCAAGGGACGTACGTAGCGCGCCAAGCGTAAACAAGCAATCAAGTATTTTTGTTTGTTTTTTCTCCTAAATCAAAAGGCTTTCATAAAAAAAAACAAAAAAAACCTAAGAGCGCAGTGCATGAAAGTGCTCATTTTCTGCACTAACATAACGGCAAATATTGCTGTCCAGAAATACCCTTTCGAAGTAAAATGCAAAACAGTTTTGACGTCGTGTTCACGCTAACAGTGTCCCACAGTCTACATTCCGCGACGACACTGTTGGCGCGAACGTCATCGTCGGTTTTCTCCGTCTTTCTCTCGGTATTGAAAAACTGCCATCAAAACTACCATAGGGTGGGAAGAGTCCATTTGGGATATTAACCTACGTGGCAAATTATGATGTCCGCCAGTAACCTTTCGAAGTAAAATACGAAAAACCGCCGAAATCGAGTTACCACGGGGAGCGCGCTTAAAAGCATGTTTCAAAGGCCCCGGTAAGTGCGGCACGCGGAACACGGTAACGGTTCGCTAAAAGTTTCCAGTGTCTCGCAGTGTACTGTACGTCCGGCTCGAACTCTCGCGAAAATTCGTCCTGATAAACCACGCCCCCTTTGTTTGTTTTGCTTGCTTTACGCGCGAGGGCAATATTTTTCGGCTCGCTCGAATTCTTTTACAGCGAAGCTGTATATGACTCGTAGGTCGGGGCTTTTTGTTGTCCGTCGACATAAAACCATCCTTATCATTTATGATGTGCTTGTGACACTTGTTTAAATAAGACAACCACAAAACAAGTGCCAAAACCACGTGATTGATTATAAGGTGCGCGCGAACGATGATAGGCGCGTAGCACTGAGCACTCCCCGCATGCGTTCCGCAGTAAAGATTGCGGTTACATAAGTCGCTGCGGCAACGGCAGAGTATACGGAGTGTGGAGTGACGTCACTATCCTCACTAACAATGCGAAGCACGTCGCGCTCGCCGCATGCGTTTCTCGGTAAAGATTGCGGTTGCATAAGCTGCCGCGGCCACGGTGGCATGCCGAAGTCTTTCATATATATTAAAAAATAAAAAAAAAAGGTTTCGTACAGTGCATTTACTTTTCTTTCGTCAATTATTTGGTATAGGCTCTTGTGCTGTTTACAAACGTGAACTGCCGCTTGCGTCCCAATCGACTTCCGGTCGTACCGTCTTTGCAAGCCTGTTGAGCTTGCTTATGTCACCAGTGCTAGAAAGCATAACTGCTACATGGACAACAAAGTTGGAGATTTAACCAGGGCCTTCGGCTCTACACTATTGCATCTTGGAGGAGGCTAGTTGGCTTACAAGAATATTCGAAACATTTTAAGAGATCTCGCACTCCTTCGTTGTTTCGGCGTCCACTTCGAGAATCGATGGTTAAGCTTTTCATCTACATTTCAAGCAGCGGTGTTAAGGTGGCCTTTGTTCATTCTTTTTATAAAACGGAAGTTATCTGGGACGTCAAATACTGGAGCACCACCTGGTGGCGTTTGCCATACGAAGGGTCTATCGCGCAGTGGGCAATCGTTGCAGGTGACACCACAGCTTCGCTGTCCAACCACCTTTACAGCGTGGATTGGAGCCTTAATTTTGTTTGTGTTGTCATTGACCGCGCCATTTGAAGTAGTCGGAGATGTAAAGAGCCATCGGCTGGTACTCAATTTTAACAGGTACCGCTGAGCAGTCAGTTCGTCGGCGGCTGCTCAACGAGGAGCGAGCGAGGGTTTATGCGACCCAAATGCATCCGCGATCGGGCAGCTTCAGGCCTCTCGTCAGCGGAGTCGCTCAGCATGTGCTTCTAAGATTTACCATGACTGAAAACGGCGCACCATGAAGAATCGCGCTTACATAAAAACGAGCGAGGAAACTGGCGATTCAGGATAACTAACGTAACCGTAAACAACTCGCAAAAAAAAAAGAAGAAAAAAAGCGTTTTTTAGAATTGTTTTATCGTGGCTGTACTTTCTGTTCTGGTAAAGCAAGGTAGCCAACAAACACTCCCTAAAGTGAAGGTCTCGTGCGGCGGCTACTTCGCCACAAGAACACTATTGTAATCCGGACGCATTATCCTTCGGACGGTTTCTTCCCGTACTATACTTTCTCTTATCCTACTGTGGACTAAAGGCCAAAGCCACGGGCCGCCAGGTCGAATCACGTTTCACGCTATACTAGGACACGCTTTACATCGATAGGGGGTGAACGAATAATGCTCGAATCCAAAAGCGCCGCATCATTTCTATAGCTTCGACGCTGCAAAGAGCCTATATGTCGTGGCTTTCTTTGTATATAAAATTGTTGAGTCACTCAGTGCTCTTCAATTTGAGCCACTTTCCACCCGTCCCCTCATCAGTGATCCGGGACTATACGTGCATCGGCGTGAAATACCGCACAATTTCTAAGTCGCTCGTGATTGGATCTGGTGGTACATAGCTTTTGCCTTTAGTCTATCGTAGGGTGAGACGAAGTATAGGCCGACAGACCGATACTTCTAAAAACAAAACAATCACGTATTTTCTCTCAGCCGCCCTCTCAGCAAGCAAAAAAAAAGGAAGAAAAAAGGAAGCGGCTGCGAGGGCTTTAAACCAGCTAACATGCGAGAAACCCAGTTACTTAGGCAACAGCCTATATTTCCGTAACACGGCATCCATCCGGCAATTAGTTTTTATTATGTTCATGATATCGTTAGATTTTGGCGTCGACGGATAAAAAACTTTAGTGTGAAAGATACGTTTTAAAGCCTCTAGAACCCAGAAAGAGTAACAACAATCACTATAGACTGGGTATAAGGAGGGGCTTTTATGAACCCGATAGAGGCTTCTCTAAATCTTTATTTGTTTCGCTACTAAATAACACCTTACGTTTAAAGCCATTCAGATATGTTCCAAACCCGCTTGCAGGTATTTTTATGAGCACAAGTGCCGATAAATCGTACCCATCGTATCTTAAAAAAAAAAAAAAAAAGAAACGATGTTTTTTTGTGTTTTTTTTTTTTTTTTTGTCTGAGTACGAATTATTTTGTAGTAGAACTAAAAGAGCGTTTCAAAGACAGGCACGCGTCGTTGCAGTATGAAATAGGACCCCCCAAACAATGAAACAAAGGTGTATTCAGACGATATTGTGGTTGAGCCTGAAGCAGCGAATTAATTTATGTATATTTGAATCTACGTTTGGACAGTCTTTTCATGTATGTCCTTAATTCTAGTGTCACTGTAAAAACGTGTAGACAAAACAGGGCGTGGTGACTGGAAGAAGACGGCTAAGCAACCACACTTTAGAGAGAAAGGGGACGAGATAGAGTGAACGAGGGAGTGAACAGTGAGTCATGCGAGGCAGACTGAAACTCGGATGGCAGATCCCACGCTCGCAAGAGTTCCACCCCCGTGGACAGATGACTTTGATTCTAGGAACTAAAATGAAATGGGCCAAAGGCATCATGCACGTCACGTGTGCTTTCGCGGAATCATTTCTGAATTGCCCCGGTGTTTCTTGGGCATTGCCCTCCAAAATGCTTCACGGCTATCCGTTCCCGTCAACCTCGAGTGACTTGCTGCCGAATTTATGAATTCAAATCTCGTTTGAAGACAGTCTCGACGACATCATTACCGAGGCTAGCGCACAGTCACGTGGACATAGACACTGTCTGCTAATCTTGGTAACAAATGCTCACGCCGAGAGGGCTTCAAAGGGCTTTTTCCTCGTTGCTTTCGTTTGCGGCGAGCCTCGTATGGTAGGAATTTCGAACGGCAAGCTTCAGCGCGGAGATACAAATAATTATTTTAAATGCAGATCAAAACAAAGTGGCAAAAAAAGAAAAAAACACCACGCATTTTGTTTGGTATTTAATAAGCCGTGCTGCTCTAATGATGCATTAATACCGAGTTTCCAAAACCATTACATTAACCCACGCATCCGCTGTAGCTCACAGTCGGTATAAATAGGGGGATTTTATGCGCTTTGTTTTCTTTTCTTTTCTTTAAGAATAGTTTGCTATCTTGAGACTCCCTCATCTCACTCGGGCGGCTTGATGGCGATATCTCGCCCCGAGGCACGTGGCTCGCGGCCAAGAGATCCCCAGAATTAGTGACGACAGCGAGGGTTCGAGGAACGGACTTTGGAATCGTGTGGGGTGCAGCAGGCTCGTTTTCGAGGCAGAGAGCATCGAGCTACTACTCTTGCGTCCATTGACCCCGACCTGTGTTCCTTGGCTCTCGTACCTGCCCTCCTGGCGCGCGTGCGCAATCGGTTAGCCAATGGCAGCGTAAAAAATATCTCATGCCCTCAGTTTTTTTTTTTTTTTTCAACATAATATATTTTGTTTTTCCCACCCCAGCTGACGCTAGGATC